CCCCCCCAGGGATGGGGACTCCCCCCTCCCTGGGCAGCCTGTTCCACTCTCGGACCACTCTTGCTGGGAAACATTTTCTCCTCCTGCCCAGCCTGACCCTCCCCTGGGGCAGTTTCCAGCCGTTCCCTCTTGTCCTGTCCCTGATCCCCTGTGCGAAGTCACCACAATCCCTTCAAGATGGCAGGCTCGAGAGCAGATCTGATGCCCACCCTTGCAGCAAGCAGCAAGCAAAGTGACTTTTTTGAGCAAAAGTGGGTAATTGCTGCACCTATTACACAGCAATAAAACTGGAGAAACCTCAGTGAGGGCCAAATGGAAAAAGGATTGGGTAAAGGTCTCTCCAGATCAAACTAACAGTAAGTAATTGCAAGACTGAAGCTGCCGGGCCCAGCTAAGAGCACCCACTGGGACTGGTGACTCCGCAGCAGACTGGGGATGCGCCAAAGAGCTTGGAGGGGAGCCAGCAAGGAGGGAAACCGTCGCCTGCCCGGCCTCGGAGAGGCAGCAAACGCCCGCCTGGCCGGCAGGAGGCTGAAGGGTTTGCCCTTTGCGGGGGGTCAGAAGCCACGGGGAGAGCGCTGGGCGAGCCAGAGGGCCAGTGGGCACCACCAGGCTGAGCCTGGGCCACCCTCACCTCGCCGAGATGGGGGAACAGGGGGACACGGGGGACAAGCTCTACAGACCCCAGGCACCGTTTGGACCTGCTGAAGCTTCACAGGCACAAACTTCTCCTCCCAAACTTACATTTAGGCATTGAGAGTTGGGGAAAAAAAGAAGAAAAAAAAAAAAAAAAGGAAAAAAAAAAAAAAAAAAAAAGGCTTTTTGGGCAATGCCTACTGCTCAGCTCCTATTATCTACCAGGGAAGCACTGGGCTGCCCAGCACAGCAGGACTCAGCGATTCAGCCTCACGACGACAGCGGCTGACACCCCGTGACAGAAATAAGGGGTTTTTTTGTTGAAAATCCATTTCAGTTTGGTGAAGTTCAGGAGGTTACGCAGCCCACCTGCGTCAACACCTCTGGAAATCAAAGGAGAGCTCGCACAGACATCCTCAGTGCATCAGGGCTGATGTAAAAACCCCCACCTTGTTCTTGGGCATTTTAATTTTTCAGACTTCAAGCACCCTCTGCACAAGGGCACCTCGGCACTACCCTCACCCCGCCCCCAGCACAAGCACGGAAAGAGAAAATAAGATGGACTGATGAATAAAATAAGAATTTCACTGAACTTGAGAAGTTTTGCACTGCGCGAACTTAAGGCGGCGTTAAAAATGAGCTGATGTCTATAGTGGAGGAAGATGACGGAGGAAGATGACTGCCCTTATGTTTAGCGCGGTTAAAAACCACAAAATCCAACAGATTTAGACCCTCAAGTGGAACTTTGGGGGAGCGTTTGTGAGCTGGAACCAACCTGTGAGGCGATGGTTTTGCAGCCCTTGTCTCCAACATCCTTTAAGCCACAGGATTTCCCTGAATTAAATCTGGTGTGAAATAAACACTATTTTTAAAAAAACCGCAACACTTCCAGCCCTCATTTCAGCCTTCTTAGCAAAGGAGATCGATCATAACCCTTGGCCAGTTGTTCCAATGGCTAAATAACCCTTTTTATTTATTTATTTTTTTTTTTAAATGCAGTCTGTCCAGCCTTGTCTTGCAGCTTCATTTAATATTTCAGAGTAAAGAGCCACATCTGCTACCGAGAATTCGATCCTGAGTCAGTGAAACGGGTCCAGCCCACAGAGCCAAGAAGAAATAAGAGGCCAAGTGGTTACGCCGATACGGTAAGTCCCTGCGCGGCGGCTCAGGGAGCTCTCCCGTGTCCCAGCTTCTTGGCTTCTGGGACTAAACCCCCCCTCAACTTCTTTCACACCTTCAGTGTGACACCAGCTAGAATTGCACGATGTGATTTCGTTGCCTGGATTCTCCCAAATATAAAATGAATTTGGCAGCTCGGTCCCTCCCCGGCGTGGCACGGCACGCATCCTGCCGGCCCCGGGACCCACCAAAACCCACATCTGGCTTTGAACACGCTTGAAAATCGAATCTTTGCGATCCCTCACTCCGTGTCAAGCTCCTGCCGCTCAGAGACTCAAAGGATTCCACTTGAAAGAAAAAATAATCACGTGCCCGGGTCCCGCAGCGTGGCACAGGGGCGAGAGGGGAGGTCACAAGTGGTTTGTTCAAGATTTCAGGTCAAGGTCAGCGTGATCCAGTCTCATTCCCAAGGATAAAAACAGTCTCTTTGGCATACGGCAAAGTCAAATTGTGATTTCCTCACAATCATTATTAGCACAGGGCCCCAACTCCTGGAATCTACTCCCTGAAATTTCGCTGGGAGAGATTTCTACGGCCATTTTAGGCCCTAACATAGGACCTGAGCTGACTGTCAACCCCAGAAGTCCCCCAACACGGGACTAACGTGTGTCAGGGACTCTCAGATCGGCCCGAGACGCTCAGCACTTGGGTGCTCTCCCTCCCTCCATTTAGCTCAACCTCAGCAAAACCCACACAACCCAACGCACGCAAGGGGAAGAGCCCCGAAAGGCGCGCGGCGACGGCTCCACGCTCACCCCCCCGCCGCATCCAGAGGCCAGCAGAGACCTTCCCTCTGCCCAGCTTTCAGCAGGACACGGTGGGTTTCCTCCGCGGGACATGCCGGTCCCCGCCCCGACTACGCGCCAGGTCGCCTGCTCGTCCTTGTCTCTGACCTCAGGCTGAGGCAGTGAATCGCTTTTACCTTTGGATCTGGCCGCAGGGCGGCCGGCCGGGGCTGCCCACGGACAGACAGACGGCCGGGCCTGCTTCAACAGGCACTCGCCAGGCTTTGAAGCCACCGCTCGGGACGGTCACAGAGTCTTTCTGGAGCTGGGTCCTTCCAGACGAGCTCCTTTGCCCTTCCCGGGCTTTGATCCTTCCTCTCCAGCCGCCTCTCTGACCACGGGCTGTTAAATAACCTTTCCCCAATAGCTCCAGCTATTGCTGGCGCGTAACTCGCCTGTAAAAACTTCAAAATGGGTAGTAAGAAAAATTTGGACTTATTTCTGACAAAAACGTCCCTACAGATTTATTTATACTCACCAGCCAATTCCCAAGCCAGTAATAAATAAAAAGCCGTTCTTAAGAAACTAAATTACTACAATAACTAGAATCACACCAGACCCTCTGCGACTCGTATTAAAAACTTTCTCAACTGGATTAACAGGCACATGTTTTTCCACAGCGTTTAGAATTGAACAACCGGGACCGGCGGCAGAAACGGGGACTCAACAGCGAGTGTGTAGGGAGATCCGACCGAAAAACACACCAAAAAAAATGTAAAAAAAATCAAAGCCGGAGAGCCGCAGCGCTGCTACGCAAGCGATAATGCAACAGTCTGGAAGCTGCTGATTCAACAGAGGGCAAAATTATTAATGGTTTTGTGATCACTAATGATGACAGTACTAAAAGAAGCTATTTGCGTGGCCAAAGCTTCCTGCAGCATAGTCAGAAATTACATAAAGCCTGCAAGAGCTGAAAGAACTTGGCTCGGGTGCCCTCAGACAGCTCCAACGATGATTACCTGGACTGTCGGTCAATATATGGGAATAAAAAAATAAAACCTCTGCAGTCGCGTTTAGCAAGAACAGATGTATACGGCGGCAGAACAGGTAAGGAAGCCTTAAAGAAATGTCAGGGTGGGAAATAAATAAATTCTTAGTGTTCGGCTGCAGCCATCAAACTCTGCAAAGAAGAACAGGTCTCGCCAACGACCAGAGAGCAGCCGCGTACTTCAGCCAGAGCACTGGCCCCTGGAATATTCCACGTCACGTCACGCTCAGCGTACTGGGGAGGGCTGGCTGGGAACTGGGGGGCTCTCTGCTGGGATTGTAGCTTGGGACCTTCTCTCTGCCCAGATCGGGCTGGGCATCGGTCGGCGGGTGGCGAGCAATCGCATTGTGCATTAATCGTTTGTATATTCTCTTATCATCATCAACGTTATTATTTTAATTTTATTTCAATTATTGACTTGTTTTTGTCCCGACCTACGAGTCTCCTTTCCTTTACCCCTCCAACTCTCTCCCCTGGGGTGTCTGGCTGCCAGGGCATGGGGCTGCCAGCCGGGCTTAAACCACAGCAAAAGACATTTAGAAAAGACTGATTTTAGATTCTAGCATTGGCAGCCCCCAGATGTGGTGGTCAAACCCTAAACTCTCCACACCTAAAAAAAAGCGAGTTAAGAGCATCCTGCAGATCAGGAGCCCTTGCGGGAAGGAAGACAACGTACCATCGCCATCGGACTGTGCAAGGAGGAGCTCGGCAAAACGCCTCGAGCCCTGCGGATTTTTGGTTTTTAAAATAAAAATCGCCTTCCCGCTGAGAACACAGTACTATGGGGCAGGAAAGGGTGTTCTGCACCTAGAATTCAGCCTGTCTTGGAAGTTTTGAAAATAAAGGCTCGTTGCTCGTTTTCACTTTATGAAGAGGCTCAGCTCCAACTGGATTTCCAGAGAGATCCACGAAGACGAACTAACCCAGCCTGGGGGACAACACCCCCTTCCCCGGCCACACAGAGGGCGACACCCCCCAGGACCCGATCAATT